ATTTTCACATAATTTCCCCCATATGTGATTTAATGGAGGGAATTGTTCCTAATGAACCTAATTATTCCAGCCAGGCTATAGAGCCTGCTTCTCTCAGAATCATAGAATCATTTAAGTTGGAAAAGACCCTTAAGATCATCAATCCAACCATTAACCTAACACTACCAAGTCCACCAGAACTACTAAAAAGTACAAATAAAACAGAAAGGAGGACACAGTTATAAGAATAGGACAATATTTCTAGTACACACCTAAACTTGAGAAGAAATACCTCTTCTGTTGAGATGCATATAAACAGGTTCTGCCAAAACAAATGCACTTGATCTCCACAATAAACATACATCTCAGAGCTAATGGGTGAAAAGCTTGTTCTATTAATTAGTCCGATTTCTAAACATGGTCTTTTTAAAGTTTAAGGTACATGAACATCATATGAGGAAGCCAGACTCAAGAATTCTCAGAGTACTGCAGAAGGAAAAACAAAGTTAAATACTTACTTTTTGAAGGGTCCTAAAAGTCAACATCACTAAAAGCAGATATAATTTTAACCTCTGCAGAATACAGCAACTAGCTTCACTGTATTTCCACAAAATTCAAAACAAACATTTAAGAGGATATATTCAGAGGTATTTCAGCACTGAGCCCCTCTGCTAAAAGTGTTTTGCTTCAGGCCTAATCCTTCAATTTGACTTTATAAAACTAAGAAATAAATTAGAACTCATACATGGAACTCATACACAAGCTCTCAATTTAAATCTGCCTCTGGATTACCACTTAACAGCGACATACATGAAGTGCAAACAGTATTGATTTTTTATTTGAAAAACAGTCAAGTTAATATGAAGCATCCAGCCTCAACATAACATTCCACGCTCTGCAGGTAAGTGTTAGAAGAAAGCTCCCTGATCAAGGTAAGCCCATAGAAAAACATTCAGTCTAATCTTCTAAATCAAGTTTTAGACAATAATATTCCAGCTGAGACTGTGTCTAGCAAATTGCGTTTAAATGGCCCACAAAAATCCATTTAGTCTTTCACTTGCCAGAAGAGCAATGGGGGGTAGCAAAAACTCATGTGTTCTCAAGTTTCTAACTGTAATTGATTGATGGGGTAAAGAATTGCAGACAATGTCTGAGACTGGAAAAGAAGAGGCAGTGTGTATTCAAAGCTAAAGAAAGTTGTATCCTCAGAAGAGGAGACAGTGTGGAGGCATGAGCATGCATGCACACCCACAGTCTACCATGCTTCCTCCTGAGCCAAGCCGTAGCCAAACAAACAGTCTCTACAGCATACTCTGATTTACAGAGAGGACCAAACATCTATTTTTTGCCACTTGGCCTTCACTGAAGTATAGTGGTGGTAAAAGCCACAATGAGAGCAACTGGACTTCAGTTTCTGCACCAGTACAGCCTCACCTTTGCATCCCTCTCAGGTGTATCACTGGTATCTCACGTTTGAATTTAGGAAGTTGCATGGTCTACCAGCTACTGTCTGCATTCCTCTACACAACAGAAATGGAGTAGTAGTTACCTCTCCAATGCATCACTGAGTGAAGCTGGTTTGGCTAAGGATATTAACACATACTCTCTGTTTTTCACTGGTAGAGGATGCGCAGTTCACCAAGGGAATATTTAATAGCATGACAAGCATTTTGTCTCTGAAACATAAAATCTCCTTCCACAACTTACAGATGCTCATAATCCATAACGTGAGGAAGGGTACCATATATTGGCCATAACTGCATCTCCATCAAGAGATTTAACTGATGTTGCCTTAACAGCGTATCTAGGACTGGAACACCATATAAGCCATTTCAAGAAGCTTGTTACCCCTTTCTTGTACCCATCCTATAGAGAAACATCACAGCACTGAAACTTGACAAATATAGTGGTTGCAGTAGGCAAGACTAAGAGTGTGGTTCATTCGATTCTTCCAACTGATGGCAAGATAACACCTGCCGTCAGATACTTCCTGAGATGGTTTGGTCTTTCAAGCAAGAGTCCTGCTTGACACTTTTTGCAGTCCTTGGGAATCCATACCTGCCTAAGCAGTACTTTACATGACTGCTTCTCTGCTGTAGAGTACCACAGAGCCTGTAGCAATCAGTCCCACAGATTTTCTTTCTAGTTGTTTCAAGGCATTTCATTGATTGAACTTCAACAAGTGTTGTGTCAACTGTCTAACAGAAACAGAAGAGAAGACATGCTGTGCAGAACTGGAAAGAATTAGGTCTGTTTGCAAAGCTGGAAAACAGGAGCCATGAAAGGCCTTCAGCCTCAAGCACAAATTCTACACTCTTGTTGTGGTTTAACCACCCAGGACAACTCTTCACAGAGCTGGGCACTCAGGAATTCAGCTGCCAACAGAAATTCAAGGGATGCAAAGAAGCTGTCTGCAACTTGTTCAGTTAAGATCATTTCACATAACAATGAGGGTGAAGAGTTCACCTGCAGTGTTTCATAGTCCTTCGCACTCCATACCTAGGGCGCATACATCTCACCACACACATGTGGCTCATTCATAGGACAACATACAGTGCTATGAATTTACAATACAGGGCTAAAGCAAAAGGGCAGAGTTGGAGTGGTCTGTCCCTGTGATAAACCAGTCTCATGGTGAAGAGCAAGATACATTTACCAGTCTCTGGGGTGGGCAGGTACTACTGTATCATGGCAAGCAAATACTAGAGTATGGAGTGCTATAAAGGTAAATTTAACTAACAGTTATAAAATGTTATGTAAACACCCCTGTGAAAAGACATAACTGCCACTGCTTGTACAGCATCTAACACAACCAGGCTCCTGTTCTTAGCTGGTCCCTAGACACTACTCTATAACTGAACAGTATAAAAGCATTCAGTCTTGTAAGCACAGAACTCCACTTGTCTTGCTTGCAGAAGGCATGAGTCTTTCTGTTCCGCTGAATCCTCCTACAGCATAAGTGTACTGCACATGGGGAAAAGAGGCAGCATTAGTAAAAAATCCAGACACAGGGGTTAATAAATGTGCCTTCCAGTAACAGCACTGGTTTCAACAGTCCCTGTTTTTCCCCAACACCACTTCCATGTCTCTGCTTTCACTTGCCATCATGGAACTCTCATGCTTCCTGGTTATGACATTCAAAATATCTGCCAGATTATACAGGAATCAACATTAAGTCAGTTTAATATAACTGATCCACATTAGTAACTCCTCAGCAGAAAAACTTGGTAGGAAAGTAGCAGCAGCAGCACAGGCTGAGGAAAAGACTACTTCTGGTGTTGTCAAAATAAGTGTCAAATCACACTCTTCCAGGGCACAGAAAAACTAGGTTCACATCTGAAATCACCTCCAGATATGGAGTACACAACACCACCGCCCTGAACTCTTTCTGAATCTGCAGGAGAACTCATAAAAACATATCTTTACTACAGCATCTGCTGGCCTGCATTTAAGCCTCCCTCACTAATGAATTAATCAGCTGCAAACCAGTGGTGAAGATTTTGGGGTCAACATTGGTATTCACTGGCTCTACAATGGGCTAGATTAAGAACATAAATCTTAGATATTAGTAAAGGATTATTTTGCATTATCTGATTTGAAAATAAAGAAAAAAACATGCTTTACTGACTGAAATAAAACAGCAATTTAAAGCAATTGTTAAGTACTGACTTCAGAGTTTCCACTATTCCTCTGTGGTTTCTTTTTTTTTTTTTTCTCCCCAGCTGTCATATGGAGAAGTTAAAATGCTTTTATACAGTTCCTACATTTACTTTATGTCTTGGCAATTCACTTCCTTCAGGTACCTCAAAACTTTTGAATCTAAGGCTTAGAGAAACATGAAGTCCACTATTCCACTTAACTTTATTAATGATTTATTCATTTATTGTTAAATTTATTGCCTGGACTGAAAGCAGAGATTCTAAACCAGTATCTCTCATCATTCATAGGTGCCAGATCCTCATTCCTGATATGGGATTATGCATGCCTAACAATAAACTCTTGTGATTTATATGGTCATTTATTACTTGCATGAACTGCTTTTACTGTACAGATTCTACAGTCTTAGTCAGACTTGCCAAACTAGAACTATTCAAAGTCTATGATTTCTTTTAACCATAAGAAATAAAGCCAGACTGAGAGGAATCTGAGCTTGTAACTTAATTTGTAATGACAGAAGTGTAAGGAATCAGACTTATTATTTGATAATTACCAAGTACAACCGATTTATTATGAAAAAGATGAGCGGAAATGCTAGTTAAGGCACATAAATTTATTGTTTAAAAAAATACTTTCTGTTTACATCAATAAACTACATATATATTTAATGATTTCCTCTCAGCCTTCGAAGACACTCTTGTAAAAACTAGGGCCAATACACTTTCATTTAACAGAGCACATCTACTCACATATAAGGTGGCAGCAGGGAAGGATCAGCATTTCTCTGTTCATAGGCCAGTTAGTACAACATTGTATTAATACTGACACATAAGACACCTCCTTCCCCTAGACATTAAAAATCTAGTCCTGGATGATCACATACTCCAGTAACTGTAGGTGAGGTGTGTTGATCTAATTAAATCCTTGTCAGCTCTTTATGTCCACAGCTACGCTTTTGAAAACTTGGCAAAAACCCCTCACATTCTCATGGCATTGATAGTATGAAAATAAGAGGCTGAGATTTAACCTAGAATGTATGCCAAAAAGCTTCCATTAAGTATATTCTTCAAAATAAGTTCAAAATCGGATCACATCAAATCTTAAGTATAAAAGCCTTTGCTGAAAAAGTAGCATGCAAAATTACTCAAAACCCTCTTTTTTTGTTTTCCTGGAGAAGTATCCTAAACCCTTTGTCACAAGTTTAAATCAGAAACTACAGCAGGTAGGAGTGGAAACTGTATACAGGAAGAACTGGTTTTTAATTTCTAATACACAGAAGGAACAAGGAGGAGGGGTTCCTTTTCTGAAAATTGCTAGGATTATGCTGGGGGGCCTGACCTGGGTAATGAGTACCAGCTGCCTACCTTCACTGGTAGCTGCATTCTTCTGGGCTTTGGTGGGTGTGTGATCTGTACTTGAACTCACGTCGGATGAGATGCTTGAGCTGCCTTTGCCTGCAAAGGGAGAAAGAGGTGGAAAGGGTGGGAGGGAGAGAGAAAAAACATGAGTATCAACAGCGAAATAGAAAGAACTTCCATATCAGAACATGGAACCATTCCAGGAAGCTTTAAACTGAGTTTAAAGCAGCTGATGTTCATTTTGTACACACTAGGGTGGGAGTTAACTGCATTATAACTTACAGCATGTGTATCTCTACGTGTACTAAGGCTGCAAACAGCCTCCTGTGTCACAGGGACTCTCATTATGTATTTGCTAAGCTCCATTGTAAATGAAAAGTTTGTGATTAACAACATTAGGAGAACTTTCTTGATCAGTTTTCTCAAATACCTCTAACATAGATCAGCACAAATGCGCACTGACCCTCACCAGCATGAGGGGTTAAATTCAAAATGTGGTGAATGAGTTGACTTCTGTTTTATGTGTTCACATCATGTATTCAAGTCACTTGGTCATGTGAAAATGAAAGCAAGGTATCTGCTGTGTCCTCCTACACCATGCTCACTGCTTGATGTAATACAGAATTTTAAAACTAACTTCTACAGTTGCTGTTCTTCACCTTTCATTTTTTAACTGTAAATCAGAACCAATGGATGCTTCTTCTCATTTTCTTTAAGACCTTTTCCTGCATTTCCTACATCAATGCCCTCAGACCTATATGCGAGATGTCAAACCAGGTACAGGTTACCAACAGAAGAAATCCAAATACAACGAAAAAATTAACTGAGATAGTTACCACAGAAGAACAGAGGGGGCTAAAACAAACTACCTTTTTGTTTACCTGTGAGGATCTAAAAATGAGTCACTTCTGTTTCCCTTCGCTCACTCTACTCAATCTCAGTAACTACTAACTAGGAATACATTCTGCTCTGCAGCAGAAACCAGACCAACCACCCAATCAGCAATACGTGAGATAATTCTAGAGAGAGGAAAGGTAATGAATACTGTTACATTTTAAGAAGTTATCTATCCCCACAAACACTGCATCAGTGAAGCCTTTAAGAGCTATGTTAGGTTTTGAACCAAAATTAGGCTGTACGCAGAAAGCTAGCTGACACCATGTTTCTGTCACTCGAATAACCCTATAATCATAGGAATGTTAGCAAGAGACTTTTCTGATCTGTTATTTCAATCAAGCATTCCTTGGGGTTCTGGGTTACAGTATGCCTGGTTTCCATAACATTTAGATGTAAGGAGGAGGTCTGCTTTTTAAAGGTGCCACAACAGAACAAGGATTTAAGTTTTAATGGGAAACGACTGGAGAATGTGCAAACGTAGGTTGCTTCACAACCAAGGTACTGCCACTTAATCCGTCAGCCAGCCCTAGAGAATCACTCTCCACATAAAGTTGCTTAAGTTAACATGCTCAGATTTGAGAGATGATTGTGGAGTGAAAGGATATTAAAAAGGCCAGAAGGAAGTAAAAAATAAATGGCTAAGGCTAGTAGTTGGGTGGGGTGAAGAGGAAAAAAGTATACTTTCAGTGATTCACTAACTGCTTTTTACATTCCTTTATGAAGTTAAGCAAACCCAAGAAGCACTGCCTCTAGAATATCACTTCAATTGCTCAAGCTGTGACATGAGTTGGAGTAATGGACTGTGGTGGTCTTTCTAGAAATGACTGCCCCAAAATAGCTCTCCAGCTAAGGCAACCAGGGTTATAGTAGAAAAAAGGCAGATGAGAAAGAGAGAAGGATAAATGTAAAATGCTCTTTGCCAGGAAGAAGTCAGAGAACTTGAAACACCTGCAATAGCTGATAATCAAATCATTAATGACAAGAAAGGTATTTAGATGGTATTGCCACTACCAGCAACAACTCATGTAGCAAGCAGTGCAACTGCAGAAGCAGAAAACAAATTTCCAAGGAGTATCAGCACTCCTTAACAGATTAATAGAAAGAAAAAAACCCAACCAAAAAAAAAAAAAAAAAAAGAGACCAAGTGAAAAAAATTCTTTCCTCAAAGCAAATAAACAGGATTTCCTCTTTAAAAAAAAAAAAAAAAAAAAAATCTTTTTGGGGGGAAAGGAAGTCGGTGATACGAAACAACAGCAGAGTTGCTAGCTGGTCATCTGTGGCATAGGTTGTTTTCACATAGTTAATGCTTCCTGCAGCTACCTACCTCCCCTATTAACTTCAATAATCTATTTACACCATATACAAGCCAGCCTCCAAGAGCACAACAGAAATATTTTACCCAGTGTAGGGTGCTGATTACCAGTACATCCAAAAGCAACGTATTATTTACAACTGCACACTTCTGTAGAAACTGTGAAATGCCAGATACAGGTCTAGATACTTACCATTTATGAAACAAGCCTTCTTCCTCACTGTCTACTCTGAAACTCTCCATTTGAGGGGTGGGGGGCAGGGGGAGCAGGAGGTACATTGGAAATTTACTAGAAAAGTGTTTTAGACTAGCAGACACTACATCTATTCTTTTAGTGCAAAACAAAGCCATTCATTTCTAATAGGCTAGATTTGGCTACTGCAGACTCATGTACACACGCAAGAGCCAACACGTAAGAGTAAATATTCTCTAAACGACTTGGGTTTGATAACAGGAGAGAGTGCACCCTCAGCAAGTTCCCAGATGATACAAAATACGGAGGAATGGTTGACACACCAAGAGGTTTCTGCCATTCAGAGGAACCTAATCAGGCTGAGGAAAAGTGGGCTAACAAGAACCTCAGGAAGTTAGTTCAACAGAAGGAAATGCCAAGGTCTGCATCTGGGAAAGAATAACCCCATGCACCAGTGCATGCTGAGGACAAACCAGCTGGAAAGCATCATGACAGAGAAAGACCTGGCAATCCAGGTGGACACCAAGTTGAACATGAGCCAGCAATGGGCCTTTGTGACAAAGAAAGCCAACAGAACCATGGGCTGCATTAGGAGGAATATAGCCAGCAGGTTGAGGGAGTTGATCCTTGCCCACCTCTGCTCAGCACTGCTGAGACACACCTGAAATGCTGGGCCCAGTTCTGGGCTTCCCAGTACAGGATAGGTAGGGACATGCTGAAGAGATTCCAGAGGAGGGCCATGAAGATGAAGGGACTGGAGCATCTCTCTTAAGGCTGAGAGCTGTGACTGTTCCGCCTGGAGAAGAGAAAGCTCAGGGGGATCTTATCAATGTATATAAATACCTGAAGGAAGGGTGTGTAGAAGGGGGAGCCAGGCTCTTTTCAGTGGTGCCCAGTGACAGGACAAGAGGCAATGGGCACAAATCAAAGCATAAAAAATTACATTTAAACATAAAATATTTAGTTATTTTACTGTGACAATGGTCAAACACTGGAACAGGCTGCACAGAGAGGCTGTGGAGTCTCCATCCTTGGAGATACTCAAACCCCGAATGGACACAGCCATGAGCAGCCTGCTTTAGTTGACCCTGCTTTGAGCACTGAGGTTGAAACAGATGATCCAGGTCCCTTCATGCTTTGACAATGCTGTAATTTTGTAATTAAGGTGCCTCTGAGGGCAGCGTTTTGTAGACCTGTAAGCTGTGTTAATCATCCCAAGATTTCAGTGCTTCTAGGAAAAATTCATTATACAAATGCCTTTCCAACTGACTACACCAGGTTTTACCACACCTTCCTTTTATATCTTTAATAGTAGCAACTTAATAGTAAAGTACTAGATCTTATTATGCAACTCACTACAGACTTGTATATCCAACAAATATATACCCCAGATAGCTGCAAAAATAGCTCCCGAAGATGTTGCCTTTTTTTCCTTAGACGGCTTATCCTAATCAAGCTCTTTAAGAAAGATCTGCAGGCAACTGCACTGGCAATGAACACAGCAAAAGTAGTAGCCACCTTCTACAGTCCTTAACCTACACTAAGTTAAACATCCAAAACTAAACAGACATGAAAGAAAGTAGGCCTCCCATCTAGGGTTCATTCTCTGAAAACCACATCAAGAAGGGTCTGTAACAAATGAGCAACTTTTTGATAAAAATGTTTTAAGCAGAAGCTCTGTGTTAGAGGAGACACCATCTAGTCCTCAAGTCAGAAAACACCTGACTCGACAGAGAAGCCTTTTGCCATGCTATGTTTGATGCCCACATACTGCTTTCAGGAAGCATATTGCAAGGCAAAGGAAAGGCAAATTATGATTTAGTATATGGAACTGGTGCTGCCAAACATTAAGCAAGTAGCATGAATTCCCAGGCTTCACACTCACCTGAGCTCATCTGAGGCAGGGTTCTTCTGCAGTGCTTTTCTCGGGGCATTATCTGCCTAATATGCCATGTAAGTTCAAAGACTGCTGATTTCCCTAATGCCATAGGAAAACTTAAGGTGTAGTGTAACACCAGTCTCCAGAGATCAGTTCATCTCTTAAATTTAAAAAGCGCACTGAGAAAGTCATAGCAAGTAAATATAACCTGACGGGTTCTAGCACAATGACAACTAGAGGGACCAAACAGAGGGCAATATTGCAAAGACTACGGAAATAATGACTGTATTTGGTCCTTTGCTTAAAGCAAATTAAAGGCCTGCCAAATGCTTCCCTAGCATGACTTGCAATTGTCTAGAGTTTCCTTCATATATTCAACAGGTTCTTCATCTCGAAGCCAGAAGTTGCAATCCAAAAGAAAGCAAACTTCACTATGGTAGTAGGTAGATATGGCAGAAGGTGGCAATTTTCCTACAACACAACATAATTCACACCAGGAGTGAAGGTAGCATGGACTTCACCACACCGGCAAAGAATCACACAGCTACACAATTGCAATTCAAATCATGCCTCGGACCTGCTTCTGAAGAAGCAAGCGTACGGATATTTTTTTCCGCCTACTAGTGCCAAGGTCTTACAATAGTCATAGGAACAAGATTCCAGCCATCTAACCTAGTATGCTATTTCCTACACATTTTATTTTGATCCTACTGGAAAGAAAAATAGAATAAGGTAAACATATAACAGATACTTCCCCTGAACATCGTCTCTGCATCCAGCTCTTTGTAGCCCAAGGAATTTTTTTAGTCATAGAT